GGCAAAAGTTCCCACCTGCCTGAAGATTGCCACCATCATCCCAGTCCCAAAGAGCTCTACAGTGACTGGTCTGAATGACTTATCGACCAGTGGCCCTCATCCCAATAGTTGCTAAATGCTTAAAAAAACTGGTCATGACCCACATCAAAACAACCATCGTCAACGAGGACCCTCATCAATATGCAAACAGCCAGAACCAATCTACAGAGGACACCATCTCCTCTGTGGTCCACACTGCTCTCACCCACCTGGAGTAGGACTCCTACCTCCGTATGCTCTTTGTGGACTTCACATCTGTCTTCAACACCATGATCCCCCAAACCCTGATGGACAAACTATTCACACTAGGACTAAACCCCTCCATTTGCAACTGGGTCCTAGACTTCTTAACAAACAGGCTGCAGTCAGTGAGGGTCCACAACTTCTCTTCTTCCACCATAACCCTCAGCACTGGCTCCCCTCAGGGCTGTGTGTTGAGCCCCCTCCTGTTCACTCTGCTCACGTATGACTGTGCACCTACCCATCCAGTCTGTCATATTGTAAAGTTTGCAGATGATACAGCAGTGGTGGGATGCATCACAAACAAAGATGAGTCCAGCTACAGGCAGGAGGTGGAACACCTGGAGAGCTGGTGCAAGGAGAATAACCTTCACAAAGATGTGAAGAAGACAAAGGAGATGGTCGTGGACTTCAGAAGGAACCCACCCACCCCCCACCCCCCAAAACATAGGAGGATCTGCGGTGGAAGTGGTCTCCAGCTACAAGTACTTGGGTGTACACCTGAATGACAACTTCATCTGGGGCAACAACACCACCGGCCTGATAAGAAAGCTCATCAGAGACTCTACTTCCTCAGGCAGCTGAGATGAGCTGGTCTGGGAAGCACAGTCCTCACCTCCTTCTGCAGGTGTACAGTGGAGAGCATCCTGTGCTCCAGCATCAACGTGTGGCATGGAGGCTGCACAGCTGCAGAAAGAAAAGCTCTGCAGAAAGTAGTGAAGGCTGCACAGAAGTCTGTTGGAGTCAGTCTCCCCACCATCACAGACATCCACACCTCCAGATGCAGGAAGAGGGCCACCTGCATCATGAAGGACTCCACTCACCCAGCGCATACACTTTTTGCCCCACTCCCCTCAGGAAGGAGGTTGAGGAGCATTAAGTGTAGAACCACTAGACTGAGGAACAGCTTCTACCCTGAAGCTGTTAGACATGAATCTCTAACCAGAATAATCACGGTGAAAAATCACATCATGTTGCTGCTGATCTGTTTCATGTTGCTGCTGATCTGTTTCAATGTTGATGTGTTCATCCGTGCTCATCTGCTCACACAGACTCATGTACATGCTGCTGTTCGATAAAATGTTTTTATGTTATTAGTGCTTAGTGTATATTTAGCTGATGTTTTTCTTAGTTCATATCTTAGATCTTATTACTGTTTTTCTTTTACATTTTATTGTTGAATGTAGCTGGGACCCCGTGTACATAATCTAGTTCCACCACATGTACCACATGAGATGTGAATGACAAATAAATCTCTCTGACTCTGAACGCCTTGGAGTCCTCCCAGAAGAGGTGGAAGAGGTGGCTGTGGAAAGAGAAGTCTGGACCTCCCTGCTCAAGCTGCTGCCCCCACAACCACATCATAAGAGGAAAATAACGGATGGATGGATGATTATTTTTATTATTATACGTATAGATAAATTTATTATTATTATTATTATTATTATTATTGTTGTTTTTATGTTATTATTATATGATGCTCCAGTAAGTGTGGCTACCTTGACTGTGTCTCTCTGAGATCCAATCTCGGTCTGATGCTCCAGTATAGCTATAGTGTGAAGTAATGGTTTTGTCATGGACTGGATTTCCCATAATCGCCACCAGAGATGGACATAGCTGCTTCCTGGAAGGAAAAAAAGTTGTTTTTTTTCAGGAAGAACATCAGACTCATAATGTAAAATTCAAGAAATAACAATAGGGAACTTGGGATTTTGGAATTAATTAAGTATTTATATTATTACTAGTTGGCTCTTAAAAGTGTCTTGTCGGAAAAAAAAAAACATTCACTTAAACACAAAATAAATATATATTTTTTATAGTTTTCAGCCTTTACTTTTACAGATTGGGATCTTGTGAGGTTTTAGAAGTCATCATGTAAGAATAATAGACATATCAGATTTGTGTAATCAATGTATTAATTGAAAGCCTTGCATTCTTTGAAGAAATTCATATTGCCTGCCTTTCTTGCCAGAGTTGTAACATAAGATTAAAAAAATCAAAATTAAGTTATGCAAGAAATCACACAGCATATTAACTTGATGAAATTTTAGCTTAGTATCTGTAGAAGTGATATTATTCACAGGTATATTATTGTTTGTGTTTTAAAATTGAATTATCTGGAGAATTCCTCTGGTCTAAGACTGACTTCAAACAATAACCATCAATAGATATTTATCCATATTTCATCCATCTTTCTGAATAAAACATTCAGAAAGTGATCACTGAATGCAATATCAGTAACGGAGTCTTGTAATCGTGAGGTTGCGGGTTCGAGCCCAGGTTGCATCAGGAAGGGCATCTGACGTCAAACAAATTGCCAGATCTTTCATGTGTTGGCTCGCTGTGATGACCCATCAAGTAGTATGTAAGAAACATACTTTTTTTTAACTTTCTGAACATTTTACTTTATTTTACATTTTCTTGAGGTATTTTGACAACACACAAATACTGTAGACTCTAATTTTAAATGGCACAGTTTTAAATAAAGGCTTCACATGATCAGTTGGCTCTTTGAATATATGTTGTATGACGCTCAGATGCCAACACGTATCAAGTTAGTTCAATATCCATAAAACGGACTGAGCTATAGTTATTTTGAAGTTTAATATAGACACTTTGCTGTGGCAGCAATCTTGATTCAGAAGTAAAATCAGTTATGGATGTATTCAATTATTTTTTGAGAGTTTAATTAAAATCCACTGTGTGTCATGAAATATTTTGCTTAAAGAAAAACAAATGTGCACACAGGCAAACACATTATCACCCTCTTTTTGGCCTTCGGTGGCGGGTGCAGCACATCAAGTGTTTTTCCATAATTCTGCACAGACACTTTACTTTAATTAAGCTTGTGAGGAAATACAGATGCATTAAAAAGTTGTACCACACAAGGTCGGTAAAGCCTCTGGACAGGTGCATTGTGGGAGGACAGCTGCTGAGCATGGAGAGGATGCACTCTAGGTAAAGGAGCTGCAGTAGCTGATTATCACTACAAAAGGAGAAATGAACAAATTTGGAAAGATCACCACATAACAGCAGACAGCCTCTATTTGATCGAAAGAGTTTCATTTGACCAGGAGGATTTCTGATCAGTATGAACTATTCAGGGTTACCTGTCCACAGACTCCAGTTTTTCACAGAACACCGTCAGAACCATCACCACATCTTCACACAGAGCCTGGTTGGTTGGAGAAATATCTAAAACACATACCCAACCAAGATGAATTAATCGCTGCTAATTTCTTTAATATGAAGTTAAAAAAATGCTTTTTAATTATCTTACTTTATCACTCTGCTCTTTTTTTTATTTGGGTAATTCAAATTCATTCAAATGATTTTTCCCCTCTGCCTTTCTTGGCATGTATCTACAGCGTTTAAAGTTTCACACCCAATATAGTCAGCCTTGCTGTAGGAGATCAGTCAAAACAATGGCCTCCATTCCTTCTCCAGAAATCCAAAGTGTCAAGTTTTCTATACGGAAGGTATGAATAAATATGAAATGTCTATCTAAAAAGATAATCCTCTATTTCAGGAGTTCTCAAACTTTATATTCAGTGGTCCAAATTTGATTTCTAGATAATCTGAAATAAAAACCAATGAGCAAATTCTGTTTATGTTTAATTTGCTATTAACCTTAAAACTTACAAAAAAAAAGTATTGTTTCCCTACAACTGCTTGTGAACTAAGCTGATCACTTTTTTGACAATTGTGATGTAATTTTGTTTAAAATAAATGAACTTGAGTAATAATTACTTCTTATGTCAACTAAATATAATGTATTTTTTCCAAACAAATACAAACATTAACTAGAACTGTATGCAGCCATCATTGAGGTCCAAGCCTCATGTCCATCCCCAGCACTCAGCCCAGCTTTGGGGCGGCTGTGGCTCAGTGGTTAGAGCCGTCGTCCTCCAATGGGAGAGTTGGGGGTTTGATTCCACCAGCAGTCACATGCTGAAGTGTCCCTGGGCAAGACACGGAACCCCTCGTTGCCTCTGATGTGTCCCATCAGTGTATGAATGTGATAAAGCTCTGATTACTCTCTGTATAGATCTAGTATAGAGCTGTATGAATGGGTGAATGACACAGATTGTTGTAAAGAGCTTTGAGTGTCTTGATCAGATAGAAAGGAGTTATACAAGTACTGTCCATTTACTATATATTTTTTTAACATTTGTGTGTGTGTGTAAATATTACGTTATATTACATTATTATCATTATTATTATTATTATTATTATTATTATTATTTTAATTATTATTATTATTATTATTATTGTATCATCATTACAAATGTAATGCTTTTTAATGCTAATTAAATGCAATTTTTAACTATAATTTTTATATGTATTCATTTACTTTAGATTTTTTGAATTTATAATATACATATATACTAATAAATGTTTAAAAAGAATGGCATTTAATTATAAAAAGCACTAAATTGTTTTGCCTAATCTCTGCAGATATCCCAGAAGTCTGTTCTAATAAACACATCATGAAGCCAAGGGGAGACATCTATAACCCACTTTCTCTTTTATTTCCTTGAAGGAATTTTGATATACATCCTTGCATTTTACATGTGTAATACACTGTTTATATATATATATATATATATATATATATATATATATATATATATATATATACACACATTAATCAGTAGAAAGTGATAAAACATGCTAAAAATAAAAGAGGAAAAAAAATATTGACATACCTCTTTTCTGCAAGGGCTTTGTAATCACCTTATTTCCGTCAGCACCCTGGAGATGAGCAAATGACAGATTAACTTTATTTCATTTGTGAATTTAAAATCATCTGTGTTAAAAACTAATTCCTGTAAGATTAAAGTTTTTAACATCATTGCATTTCAGTGACCTAAGCAGATCCCTTTTAAGTTTAATCCAGAATATTTTAAACAAGTGTTTTTGATGGGTCTTGAGGTACATACAACCTCAGATGGACAACTAAACAAGACAGGAACAAATATTTGATGTTTCCAGATTTAATAGGGAAAGTATCGTCCAGGTCCTCATGGTTTAATTTATTGAATAACTGATCATTATCAATATGACCACTGCTATAAAAGCAACAAAAAACAAGAACAACAAAAATGCTACTTTCTAGCAGTCAGATGTGTGCTAACACAATGCCAAAGTGGAAAGACATCAGGAACAACCTTAAAAAAAGCAACTGTCACTGCCTATTATATAAAGATTTAAATTATAATGGCTGATGATTGGGGCTTGTACTGCAGCCATGGCACCTAACACACTCAATGAGTGGACCATGAACTCCTCTGTAGACCATGTATTATAGTAAAATATGAGTTTATAGTTATTTATATGAATGTTTCCATTTGCAGGTTTTAAATGTCATGCAGCCTTTATAATGTGTGTGTCCTGTCTGACCTCCTGTCGCTGCCACAGCTGTAACGTCAGGTCTCCCAGTATCTGGCTCAGTGTGGCTCTCACTGCTGTGTTGATGCTGCGCTGGTGACAACTGGAAACATAGGTCTCAGTACACACCTGAACACACACAAAGGCCCAGTCAGTGATTGTGTTTTTAACCATCCTGCATTTACAACCTGGACACAGCTTTTCAGGAGATATTTGCAAAAGGGTGTCAGCAAAGGTCAAAGGAAAAGTTTACAAGACATTATTGAGACCAACTATGTTGTATGTTCTGGAGACAGTGGCACTGACAAAAAGACAAAAGAAAGAACTGGAAGTGGCAGAAATGAAGATGCTATGGTTCTCCTTAGGAGTGACAAGGATGGATAAGATAAGGAATGAGATTATCAGAGGTACAGCACAGGTTGAACAACTGGGAGATAAAGTTAGAGAAACCAGAGTGAGATGGTTTGGACATGTCCAGAGGAGGGACAGTGGGTACATTGGTAGAAGGATGTTAGAAATGCAGCTGCCAGGAAAAAGACAAAAAAAAAAAATTATTAGATATGGATGCAGTTAGAGAGGACATGGAGGTAGTTGGAGTGAGGACAGAGGATGCAGAGGACAGGGTGAGATGGAGGAGAATGACCCACTGTGGACTCCTGAAGAGGGAAAAGCTGAACAAAGAAGCCCTCTCTGGGTTGGGAGAGAGGTTCTACCTCAATTGGAAGAGTTCAAGTACCATGGGGTTCACGAGTGAGGGAAAAATTGAGTGTGAGATTGACAGATGGATCGATGCAGCATCTGCAGTATTGCAGACTGTGCTGATGTGTTGTGGTGAAGAGGGAGCTGAGCTGTGAGGGGAAACTCCCTCTTATCAGTTGGTCTACAGTCCTACACTCACCTATGGCCAGGAACTCTGGGTAGTAACCAAAACATCGAGAGCACAGATACAGGTAGTCAAAATGATTTTTTTCCGTAGGGTAGCTTGACCCTCCTTTGGTGACAGGGTGAGAAGGTCACTTATTTAGGAGCAACATGAAAGACAGATGCTGCTCCTCAACATAGAGAGAAACCATCTGAGGTAGTTCAGGCATCTGATATGGATGCCCCCTGGGCACCTCCCTAGAGAGACATGTCCAACTGGGAAAAGCCAGGGGAAGACCCAGAACACGCTGGAGAGACCATGTCTCTCAGCTGGCCTGGGAATGCCTTGGGGTCCACCCAGAAGAGCTAGAAGAGATGGCTGAGGCAAGAGATGTCTGGGCCCCCGTGCTTAAGCTGCTGCCCCCACGACCCAACTCTGGAACATGCAAAATATAATGACTGACTGAATGAATGAATGAATAAATGGATGGATAATGGATGGATGGATGGATAATGGATGGATGGACCTGAGCAATAAATCTTGTAGAAAACTGAGAAATCAAATAAAATTGTGTTTTTGCTGCTGGATAAAATAACCCGTTTTTAAAATTAAGAGTTAAGAAACAGCTGGATTCATATTTACCTGAGCAATACGCAAGACTGAGTCTCCGTTACTGTCGAAGTTTGGAGAATAGGTAATGCACAGCAGAACCTGCACACAGCAGAGACAATGTCAATCTTAAAACATAAAGCATTTTAAATGGTCTGCACTAGAACAGAGAAAAGTAATAAACATTTTTTTTTTTAAAGCTATCACACAAAGTTAGTTTATACTGTATTAAAGGAGACAAGAACAGTAAGAAGATTACTTTTCACAAAACTAAGTCCTTTTAAACCTTTTCACAATCTTTATTCAGCCACCAAATGTGCAATTTATTATGCAAACGCTGAGTGAACCTTTACATGAATGTTTTCCTGTTTATAGTTTCATCCGTATGTTTTTGGGCAATCAAACTACTTTTGTATAGTTTCTATTTTATTTATTTATTTATTTATTTATTTATTTATTTATTTATTTATTTATTTATTTACATCAAAACATTCTGCTCAATCAAGAATTGTATGTTTAGACTTTTGTTAAAAAATAAAATATTGAACATTTTTAAATAAAATTTCTTATAGAAATAGGCTACATAAAAATAACTTCAATTCCTTTAAAAACAAAGTTGTCTTTGAAATCTGCTGCAGGACGCCTGCTTGTTTTTGTCTTATGAAACACTTTAAACCAGCCTTTCGCTACTTTTTGCTTTTAGACATCATTTTGCTCCTTATAGCTACTACTTTGCTACTTGCAGCTTTTGGCTAGCTTTTTTCTGTTTTGCTTAAAGCTAACCTTTGTTATTTTAGCTAACATTTGACTACTTTTCACTTTTAGGTATCATTTCACTGTTATTAGCTTTTAACTACTATTTTGTTGCTATTAACTTTTGCTATAATTTTGATGCTGATAGCTTTTAACTGTCTTTTTTTTTGTATTAGCTTGTAGCTATCAGCTTTTTACTTTTAACTTTTAGCTTACCTTTTTTCACTATTAGCTTTTAGTTACCATTCACCTTCTATAAGCTTTTAACTAACATGTTCCTCCTTTTTGCTTTTACCTATTGTTTAGCAAATTTTTAATTTTAGCTACTATTTTGTAAATTTTAGCTTTTAGCTGGTGTTTTGTTTAAATTTGTTGCTACAATTTTGTTACCTTTAGTTTTTAACTACCATTTTGTTACCTTTAGCTAAAGTTTTACAACTTTAAGCTTCCAAACAGTTTTGCTACTTTGAACTATTATTTAACTCTTTATTAGCATTTAGCTACACTGTACACATTTTTTTAAATTAGCATTTAGCTACACTGTGTAGTGAACTAAGCCTCAGGTCAAATCTGGCCTTGAGGGCCTTCCTGGGACAAGAACTGTATTTCATTGATTTGAGTCCAGAAACACAAGATTAAGTTCATCCAGAGACTTCCTAAGTGTCCTGCACTGATCAATTGAAAGAACACTCTCTTTTTCTATTATCATTACTATCTTACAAATGTCTTGATAATCAAAGTGTGTTTAGTTCAAACCATTTTTAAATGTTGAAGTGAACTACTCATTTTAAATCAACTGTGAAACAGTATTAGTGATTTTTTAATCCTCATTCAAAGTAGAAATCAAGTTAGAATGTGTTACGGAGTAATTCATGCATTTTCTGATTTTCTGTCTGAAATGAGCAAATGTAAGTTGGTCCAAGGTTGGAGGCAAGAAAACAAGTTGTTGGAACGAACTGTCATGTTTTTATATCCTCTCAGACGTAAATAGAGAAGCTGGCACCTGTTTTCCCCCAACTCGCCTAAACATTTCTCTCGTCTGTCTCAAAAAACATCTTCTGTCCGTTCCAAAACAATTTTTCTGTTTTTCTGACTTTTAATAACCTCTTACATCACTAAAACACACCCCTGTTTGGTCGATCGACCAATCAGGAACTTCCCAAATGAACCGGAAATAGAACTCTTTAAATGTCGGCACTTCCTAGTTCCAGCCAGTCGAGTGCGGTGGGAGAGCAGTTCAGTTCGGAGGTTAGAACCGAACAGGAAAGGTGCTGGAGAAAACAGGAGGTTCCAGACATGATCCGAAGTTCTTCCGAGTCTTGTGGGAATTATGCAATCTTCCACATCTGAGTGGAACTCTGACGGACTCACAACTCATGTGAGCCCACCCGGGAGGTGAACGTGTGTCGAACAAGTACCGTCACTACTTCGGACGTTGCCCCGACATCCTACGGAGACGCTGGAAATGGTAGCGTTAAATGGGACTCCGTACCAGCTGATTCATCTTCAGAGAGGTAACGAGTCGATTTCCTACTGAAGCGTACCGAGATGAAACTGGGTTCGAATGGAGAGTGCCGTTCTTATACCGACACATTTCCCTCATCCATCCTTTCTCTCCATTTAAACTTAATTTTCCCATCTTTAAAACTCTTCTATCTTGCCAGTAAATCATTCCAGATATTTTCAGAAATGTCTGTTGTGGAGCAGGGAAATCATGGTCGTATGGTTTTCCTGACTGTAAAGCTAATTAATTAAGCTGTTGTTGAAATCAATTTGCCAAATTAATGTAAATGTGTGATGTTAAACTTTGATTCTGTTAATAAATGACCGCATTCATTTGATGGGTCAAAGAAAATTAACGTCTCACGTCACATTTAATTTCAATGCACGATATTATTCAGTCCAGAAAAATGAATGAATCCATTTAATTTATGGATAATATATCACAGATATATGTTCCTCTACACCAATAAAACCGAGAAGTGTTGAAAGATGAAAGGTGTTTCAAGCACTATCCAACAGTAGAAAAACAACTGTACTGAGGGTGTTTGTAAACTACAATGAAAAACTGTGTAAAAGACAGATAAATCCAGAAAACACAAGACAACTCTTTTTAAAGTATTAGTGGATAAAGACTCAAACTATGCATTGAATTAATAACTGTACAAATATTATCTGAGTCAGTCACAAATCAATATTAAAGTCCTCACACACACAAAAAAAAATGTATTGTTACAACTCCTTTCAAAGAGCTCCATGATTTTATCAGTAAATATAGCTCTATATTTGAACCTGGTTATCTATGGACACAACTGATTATTATATTTAGAGTTGTCATTTAACATCTCAACCATAATTATTTCCATTACATCATCAACAACTATTGACATCTTATCCTTATTTTTGCATTTAATTTCTGTATTAATAAATAAAGCAACTCCCCCAACGTTTTTTAACTTCTATTCATATAATTCATATCCTTCTGTTTGAAAGTTATTTATCCATCCATCCATCCATTTTCTTTACCCGTTTATTCCATTTTGGGTCACGGGGGTCGCTGGTGCCCATGTCCAGCAATCACTGTGCGAGGGGCGGGGTACACCCTGGACGGGTCGCAAGTCCATCACAGGGACACATAGAGACAAACGAGACAAACAACCATTCACTCTCTCACTCACACCTAGGGGCAATTTAGAGTTACCAATCAGCCTAACATGCATGTTTTTGGTCTGTGGGAGGAAACCGGAGTACCTGGAGAAAACCCACGCATGCACGGAGAGAACATGCAAACTCCACCCAGAAAGGCCCCCGGACCGGGGTTTGAACCAGGGACCTGCTCGCTGAGAGGCAGCAGCTCTACCAGTTGCGCCACCGTGCTGCCCTGATAAAGAAACCTCCGCTTGCTATTTTAAATTGCTCCTCATGATAATATTCACAATATTTGACTTCTGGAAAAATATTTTTATCAGCCATACTATTCACATTGTATATTTTTAACGCTTAAGTCTTTGTAAATATCCATATTTTAAAAATACACTTCCACTATAGATAAATATTGTTTTCTATAGCTACTTCTTCATGTTCAATGTAAATTAAGGTGTTCAGTTCTTTGATTAGTTGTTTTGTCATAACTGCACTTAGTTCTTGTCAATACAAGTTTAATCATTTCCTTATTATGTTCGGTTTTACATACATCCACAGAAAGTGCCACTTACATAGACTGTAACTACCAGTTACATAGACTAAGCACCAGTTACATAGACAGTAAGTAGCAGTTACATGTACTGTAAGGAAAAATAACAGACACTGTAAAGACCAGTTACATAGTCTGTAAAGACAAGTTATATACTGTAGTCCCTCGTTACTTTGCCTTTTGTTTTTCATGGACTCGCTCTATCGCGGGGTTTTTTAAGTACTGTACAGTACTGTACATGTACATAATATCACCCCCCCCCCCCCAAAAAAAAGTGCTGCCATTTTGTAGTTTTCTTTCACTAAGCCTTC